AAGTTGAGCAATGTGCAGACCCTTTTTAAAGGAACAACTTCTCGTGGACCTCAGAGAATCCATCCCGGCACCTCTGTGAAAGACTGCAGAAAAAGTTAAACACTGACCTTTGGGTGATACCTTGGCAGCAACATAATTGGAAGTACAAAAGCAGGCCCGCAACTACACTACTGTATTTAGTTTTAAGACTGTCACCCAGATAATCCAGGATATTCTTATACTAAATTTATTTTCAGTTTATTGAGAGGAAATACAAAATTTTTAATTTCTTATAGAAATTTATACTGGGGGATCTGTTTGAGAAACACCAGATCAAAGTACCTTATCCCAAACCCTCCTTCTACCTTAAACTTATATTATTTTTAGAATTCTTTTTTATAGAACTATAACTTAAGGTCATGCCCTTATAAATTACTAAGGGCCAATATAAGACATGGGTAATGCCTCTTTACTTACAGTTTCTATTGAGGATAGTGGCCATTAGTTTTCAAGTATTTTACATATACAGATTTTTAAGATTGATTCTTCTCAAAGCTCAGGGTCTAGAACAAGTTTTTTGTACGCTGCTACTTCATATTGGCAGACAATGAGAATGACCCAATCCACTGAATATCCCTTTTTGCCTTGCCTTCTAGGAGGCTCAGAACAAAACTTTCTGTTCACTCTTAGTGTCCTATATTTTGTTTTAGTGGTTTCATTTTATTTTTCAGTGTTTTTCCTATCAACTGCCTCAAATTCTTTTTTGAAAGGAGTAGATGTATAAATGTGTAAATAGAAGATTGAAGAGTGCTGGGACCTGGATTAAGATAAAGAAGATTAGAAGAAAGCAGAATTCCACAAGAAAGGAGGAAGGGAGGGTCAGGGGTGAGAAGGATATGAAAATAAATGTCAGAGAAAAGAAGAATAAAAATCTTAGAGCATTGCCAGATGCCAGGAGAGGGGAAAAGAGTTCATCAAAGCCAGCCACAGGAAAAGGGGTTCTTCCCAAACAGGCCCTCTATTTTCCTCCCCAAGTCTGGGCTACGGCCTTATCTTTACAGGCCTGAATAGGAAAGTGAGTGTTCTTGAGTTCTGGTTTCTCTCTCTGCTCCTGGCCCACAGGTTTGGTCCCTACTACACCGAGCCAGTCATTGCTGGGTTGGACCCGAAGACCTTTAAGCCCTTCATTTGTTCTCTAGACCTCATCGGCTGCCCCATGGTGACTGACGACTTTGTGGTCAGTGGCACTTGTGCCGAACAGATGTACGGGATGTGTGAGTCCCTCTGGGAGCCCAACATGGTGAGTTGGTGGCATAGAGTGGGGATGGACTCTGAGGTACCCTCCCCTCTTTTGCCATCAGGGAAATACGTGTTTACCTGGCAGGTCATGGGAGAGAATGGTGCAGGTAGGAGAGAAGGCCACAGTTGCTGAGCCAGAAACTCCGTCTACCAGGGCCTTTGGTGTTGGCTGGCTGGCTCCAGGGGAGAGCACCTTCTGTTAGGAGACTCCAGTCAGTTATTTGCTAGAATAACAAATAATTCCTCATATTGGGTTTTCAGGATTCTCACATTCATTCACTGAACAAACATTTAACAAGGTATAGGGCCAGAGGCAGCTCAATGGAATGGGTTCTGGAGCCAGGTTGTCTGGGTTGGAAAACTAGCTCCACTGACCACTTAATGAATTATGTTCTTGGGTAAGTCAGTTTACCTGTCTGCCTCCATTTCCTTAGCTGTAAAATGGGGGTAATAATAGAACCTACCTTACGAATGGAGGTATGAGGAAAACACGTGAAAAGATTGGAACAGTGCCTGGCAGTGAGTGTTGTCTGCTGTGTCAGCTCTGTCAGGCTCTGGGGAAACCACATAGTCTGTCTTCAAGGGCTTACTGCAGTCTAATGAAGCAAGGCAGATACCCAGATACCTGTCAAAAAGCAATTTACTAGGAAGAGGAGGAAAGAAAGGGCCTGGTTGGCAGAAAGAACAGCTTGTGCAAAGGTACAGGTGGGGCCCAGTGTGTTCAGAGGCTGGAGAAAGCGCGCTGTGGCTGCTGGAGTGTGGGCAGGATGTGGGGTGAGATGATGATGGACATTGAGGTTGGGATGAGAGTCTTTGAAATGCCTCGAATGCTGTGCCAAGGAGTTTTAACTTTTGGCACAGTGTCAAAGGCAGTAAGGAACCTGAGGAACCAGAGGCCTGCAGGTAGATGGGACAGGCTATCGTGGTCACTGGCAGGAGGCACTGAGGTCCTGAGCAAAGATAGTGGCAGTAGGCGGGTGGGGCAGCCAGAATCTAGAGGACTTAGTCACTTAAAATAGAAGTGAGAGAGGTGGAGATACTGAGGACTCCTGAATTTTCTAGCAAAGCCCAAGATGTAGGATGGAGAATGTATTTGTCATGGCTGGACAGGTTGAGTTTTGAGGTATGTATGGGACACCCAGGGGACGAGTCCATCAGACATCTGACAGAGCACATGGGAGCCAGATAGGGAGTCTTCTCCCCATTTTACAGAAGAGGAATTGAGACTTAGTGAAGGGAGATGAGACTTGCCCAAGGTCTCACTTGCTGGTCAGTGGAGGAAGTTCAGGGCTTGAACTTTACTACATAACCCTGCTTCCTTCTGAGATGTAGCTGAGGAAACTTCTGGGGACTTTGAGCCTAGGAAAAAGAGTGAAGGAGCCAGACCAAGTTAGGGTCTGAGGCTCTGAGGATAGAAAGGCTTCTGCTCTTTTGGCAGGATCCAGAACACCTGTTTGAAACCATCTCACAAGCCATGCTGAATGCTGTGGACCGGGACGCAGTGTCAGGCATGGGAGTCATCGTCCATATCATGTGAGTGTGAGCTAGGAGTCTAGAAACTTTACAGATACTTCCCTCTCCCCTCTTGCGCAAACACCCCATCTTCCCAGTCCCCTGCTCAGGTGTGAGATAAGAAAGGCATTTGTGGCAGACTGGCGGGATAGCAGAAATCCATGCTTCCCTAAGGCTGGCAGCTGGGAACCTACCCGGATTCCCCTGGCCTCTTATCAGCTGAGGCTCTATGACCTTGAGTCTCCCCCCTTGCTCACAACAGACATTTCTTTCCTTAAGTGTCCCTAAAGTCTCAGGGACCTGTGTGGTGATGAGCCACAGCAGAGCTACTGCAGACTGACCAAAATCCTCAGTGGCTCCCCTCTTCTCTCAGCTCCCACCAGTGTGGAACCCACAACTGTGTCAAGTACTGAGTTCTGGGAACTGTTTTTCAACGCCCAGCCTGCTTCCTAATTGCCATCCCCTTTTTCCTCTTAATTGTTTGGGGCTGTCAACAGAAACCTGATAGGAAGAAGTAGAAGGTGTCCTCCTGGCTGCTTGGGTATATCCCAGAAAAGACATTTGGAACCTTTGGTTATGGGATAGCCTGCTTAACTACCATGAAAAAGAGATTGGACTGACAGAGAATTTACCACCCCAAAGTTCTTTTATGTTCATGGGGTGAAACCCATCACACCTTTCAGTTACTTATTCTCCAGACCTGGGGGAGTAACTTCCCTTCTTTGGAAGGCTTATAGTCCAGTTCTGAATCATTTCAACTCTTGATGGTCCCACCTGTGAAGAGCCTTCAGCAGTCTCCCCATTTCTCCATTCTCCCCTTCCTCACCCCAGGCTGAGGAAACAAGCTAACATTAATGTAACATGAGCAAAACATGTTAAGACAGCCTTTTGTTCTGCGGTCTAGATAGGTATAGATGTTTGTGACTTTCTCCCTCTGCAGTGAGAAGGACAAAATCACCACCAGGACACTGAAGGCCCGAATGGACTAACTCTCTGTTCCCAGAATCCTTTCTTCTTCTTTTTTTTTAATAAAATCATTTTTCTTTCACTCTAGCTTATTTGTCTTTGTCTTTTAACACAGATCTCTGCCCCAGCTGGGCAGCTGCAAATAACTATTCAGGGTATAGCTCAGCCGTGGCTGTTCTTGACTTGCAGCACACTCTACTGGTACACCAGTGGGGATAATATGTACACATCACTTACGGAGTGCCTGCTGTGTGCTAGGCCCTGCACAAAGCGCTGTGTACCTTCTGAAATTCAGTCATCATAACCACGTAAGGTAGTTGATATATCCTTTTATAAAGGCAGCTAAATAACTTGCTCATGGCCACTTTAATAAATGGTAGCACAAAGATGTAAACCCATGGTTCTATTCAACTTCAAAGCCTAGAATCCTTTTCACTCAGCTGTACTGGAAAACCCTTAAAACTCCCTTCATTGTTTCAGGTAGAAATTTGGCTGGGTACCCACAAATAGTATCCTTATAGATCCGTTCTTAACCTTGGCTGCACATTAGCCACCCGGGGAGCTTCTAAAGCCTATTTTGATCCCATCCCTCAAGATTCTGATTTAATTGGCCTTTCAAAGGGGCTTGGGGATCTGTCTTTTCTAAAAGTTCCCAAATAATTGCACTTTGCAACCTGTAGTAGATGCCCTAATAAGCAAGTGGAAATTTTGTATAGCATAGTGGTACCCAAACTTTAGCCTCCATGAGAATCCCTTGGAGGGCTTGTTAAAACAGTTTGATTCAGATCTGCAAAGGGACTTGAGAATTTATATTTCTGATTTCACAGGTGCCGTTTATACTGCTGGTCTGGGACCCCACTTTGAGAACCCTAGACTTTAAGCTAAACATCTAGATGGAGAGCCTGAGGTACACGGAGGTGACCTGTTCAAAGTCGGCCACATAGCTAGTTAAGGGAGAGCAGGGACAGGTGTGTCAGGAGTATGGCTCCTGGCCAATGCTGGTTCTACACAGCAGGAGAAATGGGTGGGTGGTTTGTCCATTCCTCAGTGTGTGTAATGACAGATGAAGGACCCCAGTGCCTTGCTCTTAACCATTGCTTATTAAGCACATCTGAAAGTGGGTGACCAGAATCATTGAGTTTGGAGAAACTCAAGCCATACACTGATTTAGCCCAAGCAGCAACTGAAACGTGGACCAAAACTTTTTAATTCTGAAAAAAATAAAAGGCTCATTTCCAAAGGACTCAATGTATACACAAAGCTTTTTGAGTTTTATTTTCCTTGGGTTGGAGATTCATCTTAACATGCATGCATTTTAAAACAGTAACAGGTTCTCGAATTGTTCCAAGCAGACATTAGACAAGCACAGGGGCTGAAAATTCCTATTTAAAAAATGGAAATTGCAGTGGGAAATGGAGAAGTCACACACGTATGGTGGGGTGGTAGTTTATCCTGCGCCCCCCCAAAATTTAAACTTAATTCACATTTTTTTATTACAATGCCTGACCTGATGTTTGGGTGTGCTGAGCAGCACCCAGCCTTCCCCCAAAGGTTGTTGGTTCCTCCTTCCTTAGAAAATGGCTCTGAGCCAAGGGGAAGAGGCTCCTCTGGAATATTCCTTTCCAACCTCCGAAAGATCCTAGCACAACCTGGGGACAGCTGAGTCTCTTCCCTTGGAGAACCCCTTCGTAAGTGGCACATTGCAGAGGAAGGCTAGTAGGGCCATGTACACTGACCCTTGCAGATAGCTGGTAAATTTAGGGGCAGTCGTTTGAATGTGTTTTCCCTTTGATTCCTGTGCTCAAAGTGAACCTCACTTCCCACATTTCTGCCAGAAAGAGGTGAGGTCCCTAGGGTTGGGGGAGCCACAGGTCTAAGGCCAGAGCCCTAAAGGTTATATAAACACACTCCCCTCCAGTCCCTAACACTTGAGTAGCTCAAATGTTGGGAGTGCTCAAGTTTCTTCCCTCTCCCAACTTGAACCAGTAAAAAGACAATTGGGATTGGCTACTGAGAAAAGTCTTGGGTCTTTGGTCCACCTCCCCAGGGCAGGCCCTGGCAGACTGTGACAAGGGGAAAGTCACTAGGGGAGGAGTCCGTAGTCCCAAGTCCTGAGTACTACCAGGGGACCTGTTTGAGGCCTAAAGCACAGGCAAGAGAAACAAGTAGGAAGAGGGAGAGAGGAGGAAGAGCTGTCTGTGGTAGGAATTTATGGAGTGCCACTGAGAACAGCCACGGGGGCGACTCGTGGCACCTGCCACAGACCACTAACCCCTGAGCTACGTAAGAAAAGACTGAGCACTGTTAAGTCTGTGCTCCTGGAACTGCTGGCTTCCCAGCCCTACCCCTTACCCACCAACTGCGGGTCACAGGGAAGGAGCTGCACTGGGGGGATAAGACTCAGTGGTTCATTAACAGGAACAAGGGCCAGAGGCCTTCATCTAGTGGTCTAAGCAGAGTTTTCAGACAACTCACTTTGGCTGGGAGACGATAGTTTCTTAGCTGCTGACTTTCAGAAGAGGGGCAGGATGTGAGAAGCTGTAACTTGTTAGGTGGTAATGGAGGGAACAGGAGAGGAATCCTGCCCTTATTCCCCTCCAGACCTTACCCAGTCAGCCATGTCCTATTCTTATAATTTTGTTCTTGGGAGACCCAAAATTATTCTGGGATACCATAAGGCTGTTGACCTTCCTGGCTCCAAAGAGTAAGGTTGAGGGTAGTCATTTCCCCTAAGATACGTTCCACTGCCCAGAGAGGGAATGGTGGGATTCAGGAAAAAGTGAGGGCAGACAAATATTTGGGGATCGGTTCACTTTCTCCACATTCAGACTGCAAACCAAATATAATATCTTCATCATTACAAAAAGAAGAGAAAGAAAACTTGTATAAACCAAGATAAATAGCTTTTAAACAGTTGAATGCCAAAAGAATTAGAGGGCCAAACCCAAGGTTTTGAAGATAACACAGAAAATGACCTTTTAAAAAAATCTAAAATCCACCAAACCACAGCTCAAATGTTCTGACCCAATCAACAATACTGTCAGAAACACGAAAAGAGCATTTGAAACAGGTTCTACCTCTCAAAATGTAAACAATATACAAAAAAACAAAAACAAAAACAAAAACAACCCCGCCCCCCCCACAAAAACACAAAAACTCAATGTTAAAGAAGTTAGATACCTGGTAGCTCATCTTTAACTGAAAAGATTGTGTTACACAGTTCATACACATTATGGCAACATGATCAGCAGACAAAATGCAGGAAGCCGGTGGGAGCCCGAGGCTGTGGAGGCTGCCGGAGGACAGCCTGCCAAGCTTTGGAGTTGCTGGGCCTGACTAGGAGCAGATCCAAATTTTCATTCTTGATTAGGAGGTGGGGAAATCAAGTCCAAACATTATTCCTATGTAATCCCTTCCTACGTCAAATTTATTTTCTCCATGAGCCACTTGGTTTCAAGTTCTTCCCCAAGTCACTTGGTGGTCTTACTACGGATGTTCAGAGCTACCTATGGCCTCTTCCTGGGGCTAGGGCAGTTGTTTGCCTCTTCCAGAAGGTCCTGGCAGCCCTAGAGGAGTCCAAGAATGCTGTCTCCATTCCTTCCTGGCCTAGATGCTACAGGTAGGGCACAGAGACGGTGCTGGTTCCTGATCCAGAAGCTGAACGTGGCCAGGTTTGGAGGGAGCCACAGGAAGTCAATCCATTCACTCAAAATACTTCCACAAACTTTCTCGCATCTGGGATTATCTACACGTTTTACCATATCTCATCCCAAATCCCCAGTTCCTGGTGAGAGGGTGAGAAGATACAGGAATGTACCTCCCCTAGTGCAGGGCCGTTTTCTCTCCTAGCCAGACCAGACTGCTCTGATGTCATCAAAGAATGACACACGGCTCAATTCTGAGGCCTGGGTAGCAAGGCTCAGAAGGTGGGTGGAGATTCTAAGGAAGCTGCAGGACGCCACTCCTGAGGAAGCCTGTGGGTGGCAGATCTGCTAAAAGTCTAGAGCGGGGCATCAAGGAAAAACAGCCCCAAGGCTGGGGCCAGGTCCAACCCCACATCAAGCCTCCAAATTGGATTTCCTGGGTCACATTTTCAAGTGACCCGGAAACAATCTCAGGCTTAGGAACCACATTCCAAGGTGGGGGTTATCACTCCCTGCTGGCCATAACGTCCATCAGGGTAACAAAACCACAGGCACAGGGAGTCAAATTACCTACACTGTAGCCCTGGGGCTCAAAAGGGAATCTCTGTAAGGAGCAGCCTAGGCACCAGGAGATCTGCCCCAAATTAAGGCTCACCTATAAGTGAGGGTGCCTGGAAAAGGTCAGAAGGAAGTAAATGGATGGAGGTCACAAGCCTTCATTTAATACTCATCAGCTTCTGGGGTTTCTCCAAGGGGGAAATAACCATTTAAGCACAGGGGTCCTTTCTAGTTCCTTTTGACCCAGTGGGACGCAGGCTTTATAGAGAGGACATCTGAACTCCAGGGGTTGAGAGAGCCCAGGGGCTTGAGTGATGATTATGGGGTTCTCTGAGAACCAACTGTCCAAGAGCCCAGCTGCAACTTCCACCCCTTACCATCCCATGAGGATGAACTCACTCTCCTCTGAGATCTTTGACTCTGATCCAAGATGACGGATGGTGATCTGGAGTGTTCCTTCAGGAGGACAGCATTTAGACGGAGGAATCATTTGGATCCAAGGAGGAAAGGTGAAGGAAGTTGTGCACAATACTTCATAAAATTAAAAAATTAATTCAGACAAGATCAAATGCAGCAGGGCTGAGGTGTCTGACCTCCTCTCCTCTGGCGTCAGAGCACTTGGCTCTGAGGGGACCCTTGGCTAGGTCTATGGGGTGCCTCTTTAACTGAGGGGAACTCGGGGCAGGGTTGGGGAAGGTGGATAGGGTGATGACACACATCATTATAAATAGCAAATCTGGAGCAATGAAATTTCAGAAACAGAACCCAAATAAACCCACAGTCACCTCTATCCCAAAGGTATCTTAAAAGGTTACAAGGTAACACAAAGGAAACCCTTTTTTAACCTGGGTCAAATGGGGGGAAAAATCAAGGGTAAGCAGAAGGTGAGGCTATATCCTGTGAGCATGTGCACACACAGCATATCTCTCCTCCCAACTTAAGAGTCTCTCTCAGTGTCACAGGCTACAGTCTCACTGCTAAAGCCCTCCCTGACCCCCACTCTGCTCCCACCCTCCCATCTAGCCCAAATATACCCTCTTCCCCTTCCGATCCCCGACCCCACGTCTCGCTCTCTGGCTCTGGCTGAAGGTAGAAGGTCACTACGTCAGGATGTTGGACATGAACTCGTTGAAGCGTTTGGAGTACTGCTCAGGGTTCACAGTCGAGATCTCGGCCCCCGCCTGTAATACACAGAGGCCAATTCAGATTCAGCTCCTCATCCCTCATCAGGAGGCTGCACCTGGGAGGTGCCTGGGTATTCGGGAGCCTCTGGATCAGCACTAGAGCTGAATATGACCCCCAACTGGGCGGGCCACTTCAAGAAGTGGAGGTCATGTCTTGGAATTGCCCTGTCCCCCTCTTCTGATTCATGACCCCAGGGCTGCATCCACTAAAGGAGGGGCAAGGCAGTAGGGAGGTGGCGGAGAGACTCCCTGTGGGGGTCACTGTCTGGAGAACAGTAATTTGAAGCCCACGGGGAATTAGCCCTCTCGGGAACAGTGTGCGCAGGTAAACAAAGCTATTATTGGCGGTCAACAAGATGCATAACATGCCCAGCAGCCCTGGGGGAAGGCACCAGCGGGCTCGAAGTCCTGAGGGCCAGAGAACAAAGGGAAAAACAAGCTGGGCATGTTACCCAGGAATGGGATGTAATGGCAGAGAGAACACCAGGCAACCAGGCAGGCTGCTCCTCCTGATCCCTGCCCCGGGGGTCTGAGGGCCCATCTACTGGGTCTAAATGGAGACAGAGAAAACTCACCCCATGTTTCACTGTTTTGGCAGCATGTGCAGCTTTCTTCTTAGCATCATATGGTGTGAGGATATCAATGATGGCCATGAAATAGACCTCCTTTTTAGGGGCACCTGAAGGGGGAGGAGAAGTAGGAAAGGAGGAAGAATGGCAAGGAGAGGAGCAAAAAGCAGCTGGGTCCATAACCCTTCAGATACGCGATCCAGATTCATCCCTATCATTTTGAATCTGAGCAAAGAGATGACTAATGGCGTCTTTCTCAGAAGCTTTCATAGCTCTTATCTTATTTGATCGTCACAGTTCCCCTGGGGGGTTGACATCAGTATTTATAAGGTTTTGTCCATCCCAGGAACCAGAGAACCATGCCTCAGACATCCAGAACAAGCAGAGAAGAAAGGCCTAACAGAGAAGGACCACAGGGCCCAGAAGACAGAGTTACTGGTGGTGACCCAATATAGGAGCCTAGAGGTAGGAAGAAGCCAAAGTCAGCAATTAATGAGGTGGAGGTCCAGATTCCCACAGGGACATCCCAATAATGGGCCTGAAGCGGGTAGGAATGGGGGCCAGAGGTGGGCAGGACAGGCACAGGCTCCTACTTACTTTCATGGCTTTTCATGGCATAGACATCAACAGAGGGATCGAATTCTCCAGGACCAAAGAACCGAGGAAAGCTGAGGAGGTTGCCAGGGCTGTCCGGAGGTGTGCCGTAGGAGCAGAGCAGGTTGCCGCCCATCCCATCATTCTCGCACTCCTCGTCCTCTGCCCTCTCCTCCACCTCCATCTCCTCCTGCTCTGCTCGGTCCACATCATGGATGCCCACCAGCAGGCTATAGTCCATGATCTTCAGTTGAGCCAGAAACTAAGGAAGGATAGGGAAGGAGAAATGGAAGGAAGAGGTTATATATCCCAGTAGCATCTGGAAAGGGGAGATAAAGGTGTTCCTTCTAACTCAATTTTTCAATTCTGAAACACAACAGAGAATAAGACATTAGACACCCTGCCCTCGATAAGCTCACATCTTATGGAGAAGACAGTCATTCCACAAGGGCAAGGAGCTGCAGGAGTCCAAAGCGGCAGGGAGGAAGGGCCTCCCTGAGGAAAGGGGTTGAGATTGAGCCTGATGGACGAAGAGGAGTCAGGCAGGCAGACGCTGCAGGAGGAAAGGCAGAACAAGCACTGCAGGAAGAGGGAAAAGCCATACAGTCGGGGATCAAAAGAGGTCACAGCACGTTTGAAGAAAGATACAATGGAATGCTGCAGTGGGCAAGAATCTGGAGAGATGGATGCAACATAGCAGTGTCTTTCAAACCATGAATCTGAATCCATTTGAGTCCTAAATCCAAATTTAGTGGGCTGGGACTAAGATTCTTTAAATTATTATTAAATATCATAAAACAGAATAGAAAATATCAGAGTACATAACATAAAATAAAAGTAGACAGTATTTCAGTTTGTATGTGTGTGTCTGTGTTGGGTTGCCAGGTAAAATGTACTTCTAACTGAGGGTCATAGGCAAAGTTTGAATAACTATGCAATTTGGCTTCTTTGCCAGTTAAGGTAAAAATGGGGAGAAAAAGAAAAGGGAACATGACATAAGAATGACAGAGCCAACCAACATTCTCAACCCTTCCCGCAACATCAAGAGGCTATGTAGTGCAGGGGGGAAATGCTGGAGCCCACCACTTACATTGTGTGGCTATCTTACACAAAGCCTCAGTTTCTCATCTATGCGAGTGTGCAAGATGGTGTCTCAGGTCTCCTGATCTAGGAGACGCCATGACTTGAACAAGAACAATGGGTGTGGGAATGGTACAGGATGGAAATGGCCAGCTGGCATTCCAGTGTAACTAATAATGAGGCCAGAGTCATTGGTCCAAATCCTCTGTGGACTAGCCAGCAGCCACCATCAGCCATGTGCCAGGAATTCTGCCATGGTCACAAATTGAGCCTGTGGCATCATGAAACTGTCCAATTGACCACTGTGACTAGGGAACCAGGAGGAAAATAATAGGCCAGAGAAGCTCTACACACATGCCCAGAAAACAAAAGCACAAGAAGCTCTGATGACAGGAGATCAGCAGAATCTCCTCAGTAGAGAAAGGTGAGGGGCACCATTCCAAAGACCTCTAGACAAAGCCTTCCCAAGGCCTAGGGAGAAGGGGCCGGAGTCCCAGAAGAGAGAGTCCATGAACCACACACCATCCACCTGAGAACATTTACAAAACCACATGCAAGTGAAAAGAAATTGTACAAACTGCCTTAAATTCTTCTTAGAAGCAGAGTAGAAAGAAAAGCAGGGAAGAGAGAAGAAAGACTGAATAAACTGAACATCAGAATAAAAACACAAATATAGTAGGGAATGATTAAGGAAAAGTTTCCTAGCAAAAAGAAGTTTGTAAAACCTATATTCAGAGCAGCATTAGTCATAACGAAGCAATTCAAATGTGATGGTTAATATTATGTGTCAACTTGATTGGGCCACTAGGTGCCCAGATATTTGGTCAAATATATTGTGTGTGTCTGTGAGGGTGTTTATAGATGAGATTAACATCTGAATTGGTGGATTGTCCTCCATAATGTGGGTGGGCCTAATCCAATCAGTTGAAGGCCTGAGTGGAACAAAAAGGCTGAGTAAAAGGGAACTTCTCCTGTGAGTAAAAGGGAACTTGCACTGCTTGTGCCTCGGAGCTTGGACATCAGTTTTTTTCCTGTTTTTGTTTGCGGACTGAAACATCCACTCATTCTGGGTCTCTAGCCTGCCAGCCTCCAGACTGAAACCATACCATCAGCTCTCCTGGGTCTCCAACTTGGCAACTGCAGAACTTGGGACTTGTCAGCCTCTCTAATCATGTGAGCCAATTCCTTATAATAAACACCTACCTATCAATCAATTTATCTATCTATCTATCTACACCCTATTGGTTCTGTTTCTCTGGAGAATCTAAACTAATATATCAAATGTCCATTGGTGGATGAATGGGTAAATAAAATGTGGTCTACACAAACAATGGAATACTATTCAGCCTTAAAAAGGAAGGCCACTCTGACACAATACAACATGGATGAACCTTTAAGATACTATGGTAAGTGAAATAAACCAGACATGAAGGACAAATAATGTTTGCTTCCACTTATATGAAGTTCATACAGTAGTCAGTTTCACAGACAGAAAGAATGGTGGTTGCTAGGGGTAGAGAGAAGGGGAAATGGGGAATAATGTTTAATGAGTACAGAGTTTGAGAAGATGAAAAAGTTCTGGAGATGGATGTGGTGATGGCTGTACAATGAGAATGTATTTAATGCCACTGAAATGTACACTGAAAAATGGTTACTATGATAAATTTTGTTAGGCATATTTTACCACAATAAAAAAATCAAAAACATTTCTAAAGTTTATAGAGTTTGGTTTTAATGAGCAGGCTCCAAATTTATTTAAATAGGAGATACTGAGTTATCAAGTGGCCCAGATATCACATTCACTATTTAGTACCTGTACTCCCTGGAGGAGCTTCTGAGCAGGAAGTCCCATCCCAGCCAGAAGGTTACTAGGTAAGTGGAGAATCAGAGCCACTAAAGGGCATGGTTGGTGGATCTTACTGATTTCCTGTCGCTCTGGTGATCCCCTCCACTATGGGGATCACCAGAAAGGAAGTCTGAAGGGGTGTTTGAGAAAGGTGTTGGGGCAAATTAGTGAAGAGATGAGGGAAAGCATTCCATACTGAGCTACCAAGGTTCTACTGGCATAAATTGTGTCCTCCTAAATGGAAAGTTCATTTGCATGAGCTTTAGGTACAAATAACTATCCATATTGCTCAAATTATCACCCTTCCTTTTGTCCACACTCTTGGAAAGAAGTGAATTAAATTTTACTTAAAGTTCAGGAAGCTCTTGCTCTGGGGACAAGACCAGGCTCTGCTCAGAGTTAAAACGCGGGTTAGTAAGTACCTCTACGTCCCGTTTCAGTTTTTCCAGGAAGTTCTTTTTACTCTCCTCTCCCACATGCAGCTTCTGCCCTTCATTGAGAAAGTCATTGTCTTTAAATGTTGGCAAGTCCTTGGCCTGAGAGAGCAACAGCAGTGTTAGGCTAGGTGGCCTGATTCATTCACCCCAATGAGTCCCTGCTGGGGGCAATGGCACAGAAAGGGGAAGGGTCTTTAGAGCACAGATGATCAACCTGCCAAGTCAACAGTTCAGTGCAGGAGGTTAGAGTCCCAGGCTTTGGGCAGGCAGGGATGGCTAATGTGTGACATACGTCAGACAATGAGAACTGACCAAAGCGTGCCTCCTGATGAGCCTGGACTACCTCAGGGCCCAGGTACCCACTTGCTGATTCTAGGACTATAAAAAATCTGATTCTAGGACTATAAAAAACCCAGCAAGGGCAGGAGACCAAGGCCGAGGGTGAAGCTGAGGCTGAGGACAGGCAGGTACTTATTGACACAAAGCACTGACAAGACTTCATGTCTGGGAAATGGGCTAGGGTCTGTGGTGGAGGAAGACACAGGATGGCTGATAGTGTTTCACATTCCAAGTGACCCATTCCACACGTGATCAGCACCGGTCCCAGCGTACCTTCTCCTTGTCACTCGCTTCTCTGGCAACAGTAGAACCCTGAAAGGATAAGAGCCATCAAAAGTCCAGGTGAGGCAAATTCCGCTGAATGAGAAAACATGCACCAGTCTTTGGGGAGAGGCAGCAGGTGAACTGAAGTAGGCTGGTTAGAATCCTAGAGGGGCCAGGAGGCAGCAACTTGTTCACTTTCTCTGTCACAGACCGTTTGCGGAGCACAGGAAACAGGGCTGTACTAATAGACTCAGTCCCTGCCCTTAGTGAACTTTTTTTTCTAACAGGTGAGATAGGCATTAAGCAATAGTTATATTAATTAATTAATCCATTAATCACAATGATGCTAAGTGGTATAAGGGAGAAGACAAGACACTCTGAGAGCATGTAGCACAGGAAAGGGGCTCGGATTGGAGAGGGGCAGTGGCCAAGGCCTGCTTCCTGGGAGAAGTGATATTTGAGCTGAGCTCAGAAGGGTATAGAGGAAGTAATTAGGTGGAGAAAGGTGGAGCTGGAGAAAAGGGCAGGAAGGGACAAGATTCCAGGCAGCCTGTGTGAAATCTTGAGGAAGAGGAGAGCACAGGCACTGCAGGATGGACAGGAAACCAGTGTAGTTGCAACGGAGAGTGGGACAGTGGTGTGAAGTGACAGAAGTCAGAAAGTCAGTTTTAAGAACAGAACACTGTGGTTCACAGGCATAAGTGTGTTCTTTTCGGTGTCTAGAAATGCTGTCAGTCCACGGGGCCTGGACAGATGCCAGAGTGCATGCGTCAGCACAGCCGGTCCCCATACTGCTGCCCTTGCTGTGCACATCCCACTGACAGGAGTTGAAGAACATCAATTGTTACGTAAACATGATACATGTGGGGCTGAACCACCTGTCACTGTCACCTGGCCCATAAGAATTAGGCACATCAACTCCAGAGTCACCTGTCCATCCAAACATAAGCTCTGGCTTTCCCATTATGTGGCGGTTGGAGCTGTGGCCCCTCCAAGCCTCAGGGAGAGGACAGACATAGAGCTGGGAAACACAGAGTCCTTTACCTTGAGATCATACTTGCGGTGTACAGTGAGCCGATGGCTGAACACGTTCCTGGTGACCACCATGTAGGTTTCCACGCCGTCCACGGTCAGGCGGTACATGCCCAGGAACTGGGGCAAAAGGGTGTTGCCATGACACTCTACTATGAACTAGAAAGGAGGGAGGAAAGGAGGAAAAGCTAAGGAACGTATGAAGGTACCAGGATAGATGGAGCTGTCCCTAGGCTGAAATGCTCCCTGCCTGGGATTCTAAGTTGGTTTCTGTGAAGTCATGGGGTTCCTCAGACTTACAATAGGCAATAGCACCTCCCACCCGCAACTGGCATGGCAGAGCAAGAGGCTGAGCAGGCAGAGGCCCTTTGGTTTCATATTAATGGGATTCCACCACAAGAAAATCACTGATCCAGGCCTTGCATCTCCTCTGTGGCCTTAATGGGAAAGCCACAGGGCAGAGTGGGGCTGCAGAGGTAGGGTTGTGATCTGGCCATCTGGGAAAACAGAATGGTTCCATACCACAAACTCTTACCCATGCTATGCCACAGGGTTCTCTGCTTTAACTCCCCAAAGACCAGAAGTTCCTTTCACCACTTCACAGGTGCCCCAGAGAGAAGCCAGCTCTGCCTGAAGACCCAAGCAGGCTCGGGACAGGCACTCAGATGGTGCCACTGCACTCCCTGCTTCTCTCATGGAGAGGTTCCAGATGAGTGGGGAGTAGGAATGAGAAGAAAAACAACCCTGCCAAGCCAACAGGACCTCTTTTAGAAGAAATGAGGCAGGTGCCAGCGTGTGAAAACTTCTAACTCTGACAAGAAACAGCTGTTTAACTGTAACATGCCTTCGTTTCTCTTTGTGGGCATTTCTCCTCACAGAAACGCGGTACCACGGAAAGGCTAGGTTATCAGGAGGAATCTGCCATTACCAGAGGCCTCTCCAGGAAGCTCCACCAGCGGCTCGGTACCACGGAAAGGCTAGGTTATCAGGAGGAATCCGCCATTACCAGAGGACCGAAGCCTCTCCAGGAAGCTCCACCAGCGGCTCTCTTCTCCCTTTCCCAGCCCACCCTCTATTGTCCAGGCTTGGGACTCACCATACCTGGTGGTACTTCTTTAAGATGTTGTGCATTTCAGCCACGTCCTCACTTGACACAGTCTTGATGACAAAGCGCCGGTCATAGGTGGTGAGGAAACGTGTGCCACATCGGCCTTGGCTGTCACTGTTGATAGGGGCACTGCGTGTCACTGAATTCTGATGGACCAAAACAAAAGTGGGCTAGTATTGGGAAGGGAACAGGCCTTTGACTTCTACTCTGAGCCTTCGGTTATGGGTCAGATTGCTCTAAAGCCAACTGAGACAGATGGAAACTTACCCACCCCTTTTCTCATGGGAAATTTACATCTCTCCCAAAAGTCTTAAGAAGGACAAGAGTTGTTCCTAATCCTTGACTGGGATGGGAAGATTTACCATGAAATATTTCTTTTCATTCTGATCCCAGATAGCTACCTGAGATGTTAGGGAACTAGGTTCTAATCCTGCCGCTCACATGTAATATGACCCTTGGGTGAGCCATTTAACTTCTCTGCTCCTGAGTTTCTCACCTGGAAAACAAGGAGGCAGACCAAGATGATCTTCCCAGTCTCTTGCAGTGACAAAGACAAAGCTTAGGAATATTCAAGTCTAGCATAAAGAAGCGATGGACACTGTCATCTCTTTTCTCTGTGTGTACCCTGATGCTGGAAAACCCTTTCCAAAGCAGGAAGTTGGTCTTCACCTCTCTGCCAACACCTCTCCCCTCACCTCAAACTCCTGCTTGTCTGTGCAGGGCTATGAGACAGTTCTGAGGAGCTTTTCTGGTTCTGTCCCTGCTTCTCAAGATCCCATTCCCATTAGTATCAGAGAGCAGTAGAAGCTTCAAAAGGAGGGGCAACAGAAGGTTAACCAAAGGGATGCGTTCACCAAGCGGATGCTGGGAGAAGACCTTTGGGAGGCAAGGTAGAAAGGGAGATCCCAGCTGTCCCCATTCCCAAGAAAACACATGTGCTGATCTGCTCACAGAAACGCCTCCTCTCCGAGCCCTTTCCTTATTTCTTACCTGGGACCCTACCCTTTACCTTGACCTAATGCCTCCACATGAGACCACCTTCATGAAGGAAACTAAAGTGTGAAGTGGTGAGGGGCTCTCTAAACTAAAGGAGCACCCCCCAAAACAGGGTGTCCCCAATCTAAAAATGTTGAGTAGGCTGCATGACTGAGAGCCTCACTCTCCCAGCCTGGTCCTTCTACCAGAAGATTCAGAGGCCTCAAGCCCAGCTGGGAAGTCTAGTTCTCTCCCCGCGTCATTTCCAGGCAGCATTTCCTGACTCTCTAAATCACCAGCAGTCCAAGAGCACAGAGTCCCCTCCCTGAACACTGTTCTCCCGGCCCCCATTTCAGTCTTGAGCACAATCATTTGCCCACAAGCCTATTAGAGAAAAAATGCAGACACAGAGGATGTGGTTAGACGGCCAAAGGGAAAGGACAGAGCCACAGTGGAAGGAAGATGTCCAAGCAACCTGAGGTTGCAGTAATGGCAATAAGTTTTCAGAAAGCCACAAACTCCAATCAGGTCATGATTTATTTGGTTTAGGATTTGGTCCTAACAGAAGGGCTGGAGGGGCCTCCCAGGCCCTCTTGAACAGGTGTTCCTGACTGTCCAAGTCCCCGGCATCTCCCCTTCTTCGCATATCCCTCACCCTCCCTCCTCAGGACGTACATCTTTGCAGAAGGCCCTCCAGAGTGGAGGGGAGAGGGCAGGGAGACTCACCCAAGGTCCATCTGCTTCTTGTGAACTACTCTGGGAAAGACTTACGGGGAGTGGGGTGGAGGAATTAGTGTTTTAAAAGATGGGGGCATCCATTTCAGACTTCACTAGGCTGTACCCTCCTTTTTTCCCCACAGACAACTGAAAGTTAGCTATATTTCCTACTACTATAAAAGTGAAGTGGAAGATTCTCCTACCTTTACCACCAGGTGGAGAACAGAAACCATGGACTGAGTCACACTACAATGTCCCTGAAATTGAGATTGATTCCTCCCACTAGGCCAAAAGCCTCTATGACAGTTTCACCCCCTGAAAGGGACAGTTGCCCAGCCATGTCTGTCCCCACTCCCAACCTCAGAACAGGGGACAAGTTTAGGAGGTGGCACTCAGACCGGGCAAGAGGTTACATTACCCATGAAGTCTTCTTTTTTTAATGCGTCTTATCTGCTTTAAGAGGCCTCATCTACCCCTGGCAATAATTCTCTTTTAGGTCAAACCATGAAGAAGAAGGTTTCTTCAGGCTAGACTGGGAATGTCAGACTAAAATGAAGCAGCTTCCATAGGCCCCTCTCCCTCCCACTTCTCTCCCTCCTGGATAGAGAAGCCTGAGCCTGTGAGGCATCATCAGAAGCACTTCTAAGGCACTCACCCCTCCAAGAACCCACCAACGTGGAAAAGACTGCCTGGGCTGGAAAGAAACATGACAGGAAGATACAGCACAGGAACAGTGGACACTTTTTTCTCTGCTTCTCCTGTGGCTTCTTGACCCCACTTCACTCCCGAACTCCTCTGATTCTGTAAAGGCACCCGTACCTGGTAATCCTGATCATCAATCCCAAACCTCTCCCGAAGATTTCGGAACACCATGGGGCAGTACTCCTTAAACTTAAAGCGGCTGGGGAGGTTCTCCCTAGGGAAAAGCAGAGAAACATCTTTGTGAATGTCTCCTTGCTCATCTGAATTCTTACACCAGAAATTCTCAAAGTATGGTCCACAGATCACTGAGATCTGAAAAAATCCCAGTGCATAAAATGTAAGTTTCTAGGCCTACATCTTTGTGAATGTCTCCTTGCTCATCTGAATTCCTACACCAGAAATTCTCAAAGTGTGGTCCACAGATCACTGAGATATGAAAAATCTCAGTGCTTAAAATGTAAGTTTCTAGGCCCCAGAAATTCTTAAAATGTAAGTTTTAAGTTAAGTGCTTAAAATGTAAGTTTCTAGGCCCCAGAAATTCTGGAACTGAGTCCGGAAATCTTCATTTTCAACAAACACTTCACGTGATTCTGAGTATATAAAAGTTCAAAATACTTTACATCCCTTGTGTTCACTTTGTGTTCACTTTGTGAAAATTAATCTAGCTGTATACTTAAAATTTGTGTACTTTTTCTGAGCATGTTATCTTTCAATAAAGTTTACATTAAAGAAAAATACCTTACTGCTGGGAAGTGAGACTGAGTGTAGGCCCCACTCTACAAGCACTGTACTTACTACAGTTGGGTGGCTGAATGCGAACAGCTACTGTGAGGTGAATGTCAATCGGATTGCTAAAGGGAAAGGCCTTTTTCATCAAAGGAACCCTATCCTCTGGAGATGTTCCTATCAAAACATCCTGGTTACACGCAGGAATCCCTGCCTTTGGCTTCCCCTGGGATGGACGAGGAGGGTGCTTTAGATGGAACTGATCCTCATTCAATTGACTGGAATCCCATCTTTTCATGAAGCCTTGTTTGTTGGCACCGAACTCCACCGTTCCCACTCTTCAGTCCCAGGAAGGGAGAGAACCCTTGAAGTGATGCCTCTTGCGAATCCTCTTTGTTGACAGTAGTCGCCCTGCTTCAGAATTCCTTTTCAGAAACATATCCCTAACTCCTCCAGGATGACAGATTTCAAGGAAATAGAAAGCAGTGGCTTCCATGGGTCAAATCTGGCCAGTTGCCAATTTTTGTAAATAATGGCTTACTGGGAAACTTAAAAAACAAATAAATAGGTAAATAAAAAGCAGTAGTTTCTCACAAAGGCCAGAGCCTACTCTGCCTTATTGTACTCTGTCTTCTAGTAAATAGCATTGTAGTCTAATAACTAGCATGTAAACAGTCAATGAAAAGACAAAAGATATAAGGAAAGATAAAAGAAAATAAGAGATTGGATGCTCTGCTTTAGGCCAAGATAACAAGGTGGTGGAACTTCGCCCGGGGCCATAGACCCTGAAATGGACAGTGGGGCAATGCTCATTTCCCAGGCCCTGACCCCTGGGACAGAACAACCTCTTTTCCTGCCTCCAAGCTGAGGGCTTCCTCTCCTTCCTTAGGTGGTGTGACACTACGATGTAATAAGAAATATGTACTTGGTTTTCCTCCCTGTTTCTGGCACAGAGTTCCTCAAACCCTTGGAATTTCCTAAGTGATAAGAGTAATAAAGGTATCTTTTGTTATTCATAACAAACCCCTTTCAACAATACCCAAGTTTTTGTTAGTGAGGTGACTTTTGGAAAGCCCCTAAAGAGGGGTGCTAGTTGCCAGGGGAACCAACCAGGATTACAGGGTTGAAACTTTCAGTCCCACCCTCTGACTTCCAGGAAGGGGAGAGGGGCTAGAGGTTGAATCAATTACCAATGGCCTTTGTAATGAAGCCTCCATAAAAATCCAAAAGGACTGGGTTCAGGAGCTTCCAGGTTGGGGAGGGTGGTGTACCGAGAGAGGGCATGGAAGGTACCATGTCTCCATACCATGCCTTACACATCTCTTCTGCCTGGCTGTTCTCAAGTTGTAATATTTTATAATAAACCAGTAATCTAGTAAGCAAACTGTTTTCCTGAGTTCTGTGAGCCACTGGAGCAAATTAATTGAACCTAAGCAGGTCAGTAAGAGGCACAGAAAACAACCTGGACTTGCAACTGGCATCTGAAGTTGGGGAGAGGGCACTCTTGTGGGGCTGAGCCCTTAATCCGTGGAAACTGATACTAACATAAATTGTCCTACAAAATTGCTTGATGCATGGAAAACCCACACATCTGGTGTCAGAAGTGAAACGAAATGTGGTAGTAGTGTGAGTAGAGGAGAAATGCAGGAGAGGTTTTCTTCTCTATAGGTGGCCACTTAGCAAGTGGCAGCTATGAAGATAGATGGCTTCTAGAATAAGATGTTATTACTTACAATGGCAGAGAGAGGACACTAAGGGACATTTTTAAAGCAACCTTCTCCTCCCAGCTAACATTCTGGAGTTGGTGAGGTGGTAGGGACGGTGGGACAATGGAGAGTGGAACCAAATTCAAATGCAGAAAGGATGAGAATGTGAGCAGCAAATAGTTGCTGGGGTGACCCACAGTAAGATAAAAAGCAAGGCCTCCAAAGGGCATAGAGCAGGCTCCAAACTGTGCCAAGCAAGACAGCTATTCCAACAAAGCCTCAGACAACCTTCAGTCACCAGTGTTAATCCAAGAAGCCATAATGAACAAAAGTGGGCAGGATTACTTTGGCTAGCACCCTCGGACACTATGCTCAGCCTGTTGTTCACATACCAGTTAGAGGGAAAAGAGCTTGGCTATATCCCAGACCAGGAACATGGCTGGCAGCTTCTTGCCTCAGACTATCAAGATAGGGCCACTGCTGTCAGCCTCATACTAGATACCTCAGCTCTGGAGCGGCTCACTTCTTCCTAAACTGGACCTGGATGAATCGCCCTGGGACAAGCCATATGCCCCAAGGAACACTGGAGGTAGGCAGATATAGGAGTGAGATGACAAGACAACAGGAAAAGAGACACATAATGAATACATTTTTCCAGCCAGTTTTTCAGCTCTGTGATCCAGGTGTCACTGTCACATCCTTCCAGGTGCTGGCCTGGCCCCGCCTTGCAGGAGGTTTCAGAAGCTCTCCACCTCAGGGGAAAGGACTGCCCACAAAACCTGAGCCTACCCAATAAGCAACTTACTTATTGAAGAGATGATTGTCCACCTTGATCTTGCTGTATGCTTTGAAGTCATCTGGCATTAGCATGACAGGGACAGGGACATTGCTCAACTCATTGATCTGCAAAGCAAGAAGAAAGTGAAGTTGTCAGCCAGAAAGCCACCTGCCTCAGAGAGATAATATGCAATATGGATGCCACCATCTCATCGAAAACATGTCTATGGATTCCCTCCTTGTCTTTATTTCTGCTCTTCTCTTCAAATAAGTTCCCAATCTCATCTGCACCTATTTAAATTCTCTCTACTTAATAAAGTTCAGCTCAAAAGGCATCTCCTCTGTGAAGCTTTCCATGACTCTCTAGACATAAATGTTCTTTCCCATCTTAGAATTCCGGAAGCATTGTTTGTGTCCATCTTTTGGCCATCTCACAGCCTTCCTCATAATTGTAGTTAATGACTATAAAGCTTATATACAGCCTGCAAGGCTAAAACCTAGGCAAGACAGTATTAATGATCTTTGTAAGCAAAGATCGTCTAACTGATCTTTGGGTGCTCCACAGCGCTTGGTCCCATGATTTGCGTATGGCAGGTACTATATAAATATTTGTCAAATGCAATTATAAGTGGATCAGTGAATAAATGTCACCTGACCTATGTACATATTAATTGAGGCCTTTGAACATCTTCACACACATTGCAGGTCACTCAAGAAATCAGCTGGGGGCAAGAAAAGAGCTGGGTGTGTAACTCTTATCTAGAAAGTAAAGGATTAAATTTAAAGTGAGCAGAAGAGGTAGACATCTGACCACTGGTTCACTCTTACTCTGATTAATGCAGGCCAGTTCCTAAAGCTGTTTCCTGCCTTAATGCTGACCTAGGGGAGATGGCTGAGGATGCTTTGCTCCCTCCGCAAACAAACCTTCTCATCGTCTTTCAACCCGCTTCAGGGAGCTGGAGCCTGGACAGGGAGCTGGTTTCCTATTGGTGCAGAGCTGAGAGGGCAAATCCTGAGCTTCCCCATCCCCAGCTTGCCAATTAGTGGTCTAATAACCACAGATGTTCTCTCACATCACAGTAGAGTATTTGACATTTGACCTTCAATCCAGTTGCCTCTATTGCATTCAGGGTTTACCGAGGAAACCTTACTCCTGACTTAATGGATAGGGAGGAGAGCTCAGCTTTGTGTCTCCCAGATACGTTCCTTGCAAATCCTATTATCTCAATGAGGCCCCATGTGGCAGTGAGGGAATAACCTAGAGTCATTAGGACTCCTCCAGGAACATAAATGAGGGGAAATGGCACTTAATTTGCTGCCCCTTTTATATTCAGAAATGTCAGGAAATAGAGGAAAGTCAAGTTAATACAGTAACTGGGCTGGGGGATGATATCTTCCTAGAGTTAGAGAAAAACTCAATTGACTCATGGGGAAATTAAGGAGGGCACAGGAGTGTATGGGGGAGGGCCCGCAGGGTAGTATTATAACTTGGCAGTGGGACAGAGACTCAATAAACTGCTGGGAAAACTGACTGGTATAGGTACAAGAGTATATTTTGTATATGATTCCATTTATATAAAATTCTAGAATAGGAATCTATAGTGAGTGAAATCCAGTAAGAGATTGCTTGGGCTGGGCTGGGGAGAGTTAACGGTAAATGGACATGAGAAGTGTGATTCTAGGGTGATAGAAATGTTCTATATGTTGTTTAGGGTGATCATGACATGAGTAGATACACACTGGTTGAAACTCATCAAACTGTACACTTTAAATTCCCAGCATTCAGGTCTGAGATGCCTGCCACTGGCTAAATGGCCACAAAAATCTCCCCATGCCAGTTCCCATTCCAGGGGGTGGTCAGAAGGGAACCTGATTGTTAAGTGTGTGCCTACGGAGGAAACCATTCCACTTCCTTGTTTTTCTGCCATCAGAAACAATTCATGGTAGCTGTCCCACTTCCTTTTTCCTGGCATATTAAACTTGGCTCTGAGAGTTAAAGAAGTTGTTTATGGCTCTTATGCAATTCTGCCTTTTCTAGCTCATACCGTCAAGCTAGAAAGAACGTACCACTGGCTCAGAGAGTATGGTTTTATACCTAGGTTATACCAAAACATTCTACTAATCTTCTACTAATTGATTCTGGGTTAGTCTAATATCCAATATAATATCTAATATCCAAACTCAGTGCGAAGGCCAGGACTTGGAACTGGAGAACTAGAAAAGACTAAAACATTTGCTTGAGAGGGGTCCACTGCCCCTTAGCCAGGAGGAAGTACTCGAACAGGAGCTGTTCAGGAATGCTCTACTCAGTAATCCTCCTTGTAACTCTTAGTGCAGCACAGTTTGAATGGTTGTAAGTTGGTCAGTTTTTAGTTCTCACTTTATCTCTATTCTTGACTATACAACCTAATAACAGGAAATTTCTAACAGATGATATATCGGTAAACAATCCATAGATCTGAATTATGTAGACACACCCCTCATTTCCACTGGACCACAAGTAGATGATTCATCTAGGGATAAGCTGGACATTTTTTTTTTAGTTGTGCTAAATTTTATATCCCCAGAGAGTCCTATTCAATTTCAATTGAACAAGCACTTACTGAAATACCTACTACATGCTTCATTTCATGTCAGGGAAGAGGGGGCGTGCAGTGGGGGAAACGCCGTGCACACTGTGCACACAAAAGTAGGAGGCTTATCCTCTTACTAGAGAGGTGATACAAACCCATGATACAGTGAAACCTGAAGTCAAGCAGTATGTAAGTGAGAGTACAGGGACAGAGACATCAAGAACAGCTGAGGTTCAGAGGAGGGTGAGTTTACCAATGATCAGAAAGTCAGATTCCTGGCCTCACACATCAGGCTAGAAACGGCACCTAATGCCCCTCCTGGGTGTTGCCAAGAGCACCTGACACTGGAAGAATCTACAAGATCACATTACACCTTGCTTAAAAATCTTCCAGAGCACCTCATCAACCTCAGGGTAAAGTTTTAACTCCTTAGCCTCACATTTACAATCTTTCCTGATTTAGCTCAGACTTGCCCAACTTCTATTCAGTTTGCTTCTACTCAATGTATCGAGGGCCTTACTATATATACCAGTACTGTGCCAGAAGCTGGGGACACAAAAAATGAAAAGACATGGTCTCTGTTTAGCTGGAAAGACAGACAACAAATAACTAATATAATGTGATGAGTGCTACAGAGTTATGAATATAGAGATGTAAAAACAGATTAAGAAATGATTGATTCTGCCTGGGAGTGGGAGAGAGGTGGTTGCTAGAGGAAACCACAGAAAAATACATGTGAGGAAGGCCTAGAATGGTAGTTCTCAAAAAAATGAGAGAAAGGGAATTCCAGGCCATGGGAACAGTCAGAAACAAGACTATGAGGCATGAAAGTATATTGCCCATTTCAGGTATTGGGGGAGGGGAGTCTGTAGGGTGGCAGGGTAGGCCAGAGGTACTAAGAAGTGGAGGGAGATAATACAGGAAAGACAGATGAATAGCCTAGTATATTATCAATTAATAAATAACCGCTGCTTTTATTTATTGAATGCCTATAAGTAGCCCGTGCTTTATATTATTATACATGTCATATATGTCACAATATCATATATATGGTTCTCTATTATTTTTAATACTTGTCATATAAATTATTATTAATCTGATTTTGCAAAAGAGGTTTCAGGTACCTTACTCAAGGTCATGCAGACGATATGTGTAGAGTCAGGATTTGTTCCCGAGTCTGCCTGGTGCCAAAATCTGGGCTCTTTATACTGTGTTGTGCAATCCTTATGGATAACTAACTTAACTAAGGTAATGTTTTCTTTTCCTTGCCTCTATCCTAATAATCTGCAAGGAAAGTGCTGTGCTCATTTCATAGAAAAGGAAAATGAAGCTCAGAGAGGAAAATTACTACTCCAAAGCTATATTAATCATAAGGGGCAGAGCCTGGATTTGAACTTAGGTTTGGCCACTATATGATAAATTTGGACTTGACTATAAAGGCACTGGAAAGTCCTCTCAGGTTTAAGTCTGTAAATTCACATATCAGATGGGTGATACAGAAAGAAAATTCTGGAATCAAAATCAAGTAAGGATCGGAAAGGGCAAAGATAAGGAGTAGCAAGACCGTTTATGGGTCCATTATAATAGTTCAGGTGATAGACTGTGGCAGCAGGA